ACACACACACTCTCTCTCTCTCTCTCTCTCTCTCTCTCTCTCTCTCTCTCTCTCACTCACACACACAGGCAAAAGCTTGAGAAGCGAGTGGCTGCTGTGAGTTGAGGACGCCCCCTCCCGCCCCTGCAGGTGGATTTCGAAGATGTGATTGCAGAGCCCGTAGGCACCTACAGCTTCGACGGCGTGTGGAAGGTGAGCTACACCACCTTCACGGTCTCCAAGTACTGGTGCTACCGCCTGCTGTCCACGCTGCTGGGCGTCCCGCTGGCCCTGCTCTGGGGTTTCCTGTTCGCCTGCATCTCCTTCTGCCACATCTGGGCGGTGGTGCCGTGCATCAAGAGCTACCTGATCGAGATCCAGTGCATCAGCCACATCTACTCACTCTGCATCCGCACCTTCTGCAACCCGCTCTTCGCGGCCCTGGGCCAGATCTGCAGCAACATCAAGGTGGTGCTGCGGAAGGAAATCTAAAGCCAGGTGTGGTGGTGGGGCCGGGGGGTCAGGGGACAGGGGCCAGGCCAGACCCCTGTACTGCTCCGCGGGGGGCTGCTGGCGAGTTCTCTCTCTCTGGGGACTGCTTGATCTCCTCCCAAGACAGGAGCACACGGCGTAGGGAAGCCAGAAAGAAAAGATAGCCCAGCTGGGGGGCACGGCGGCCCTTCACCCTGCCCCAGCCCCACCACGATGCCCCGGCGACCGGGCGTGAGGGACGGTCGTGGGCTAAGAGGCAGCTACTGCAAGTCTTTGCATTCTCTTGTACTGTAACAACATCGCCCAGCACTCAGTTCCCACCTGGGGTCAACACATCCACGCACACCCGGGAAAGCGACCCATGACTATTGGTGTTAGGTGGGTGGCTCCAATAAAGGGTTTCGGCTGCGTCTGGGAAAGGTTGCATTTTGTTTACATCCGTAAGGTTGGTATGTGTCTTGGCCCACTCCAGAAATATATTTCACTGACCTGAGAAACAGAAGCACAGAAAGTTGGTCATCTCTTCCCTTGGCCAAAGTCAAAGACCAGAACAGAGTTTGTTTTTTCTTGGGATTCTACGTATTTGCAGGGATTCTATATGTTCCTTGGGAGATTGTGTCCAAATGACGTCTGTGGCCCCGGAGTCAGCTAATGGGCACCAACAGAGGAAAATGGCCATTGGGCTGGCAGCAGCAGTGACCCTTCCTGGGTACCACTGAGGGTGGGCCAGGGTTCCAATCTCCTTGAACCTCTCCTTTGGTTCCCCAGACCCTGAGCCCCAGGCATTGCCACTTGGCATTTGTTGTACCTTCAGCCCTAAGAGGTGTGATGAGGGCACAGGGTCTCATTTGTGCATGTGTGGACTCACTATGGAAAGACAAAGCTTCCTCCTGCCTCGAAAAAAATAAACAAACACAAAACAGCCTAGCACTCTTACATTCTTTAGGGCTGCCTAAGCTTAATCCTCAAAAAGAAAAGAACTTAATCCTCAAAAAGAAAGGGGGAAATGTGGGTGGGAGTTAGTCTCTGTGGTTAAATCCGTTTGGAAATGCTATATATTTCTCTCAGAGATTTTCAACAGACATTAGCACATTAAAGGCTCTGACAAGTTCGGCAGTAGAGAAACCTGTTTAGACCAGCATCCTCCAGTCCTATTTAACCTTCTCTCTTTTTTTCTTTTCATGCAACACCAATTGAGTTCCCATATAGTTAAGGTTGGCCAGCACTTTTCAGGTTTTCAGGGGCATCCTCTCATGCCTGACCACCAGCCCAGTGGTCTCAGGAGGTATTGGTGGAGTGGGCCACACGTGGATGGGAACTAGGCCACACATAGGCAGCCTTGGTTCTAGTTGCCTTCTCTGCCTCTATTTACGATCATCCCTAAAATGACATCTAATGTGCACGTCAGCTCTAAAATTTTACGCATTTTTGTTTTTTTCTAGCATCTTGTGCAAATTTCAAACACAGAAAAAAAGTTGAAAGGGTTTGCAGTGAACACCTGTGTACATACACACCATCCAGGTCCTACAATTGACACTTGTCCTCCCCCTGCTTTCTCACGTTTCTACCCCTCTACTCACCCATCTATCTCATCTTTCTTTATGTATTTTTATTTTTTGTTTTTATTTTTTTAAGTCTGATTCTCACTCTGTCGCCCAGGCTGGAGTGCGGTGGCACGCTGCTCATGGCCACCGCTGCCTTGACTTGCTGGGCTCAGGGTGATCCTCCCACCTCAGCCTTCCAATTAGCTGGAACTACAGTTGTGCGCCACCATGCCCAGCTAATTTGTTATTTATTGTAGAGACAAGGTCTCACCATGTTGCCCAAGCTAGTCTCAAACCCGCAGGCTCAGGCAATTCACTTGCCTCCCGTCTTTATGTATTTTTTTTTGAGTTGGAGTCTCACTCTGTCACCCAGACTGGAGTGCAGTGGCCGCTCCCGGCCACCGCAGCCTCAATCTGCTGGGCTCCGGCGATCCTTCCACCTCAGTCTTCCAAGTAGCTGGAACTATGGGCATGCGCTACCATGCCCGGCTGATTTTTTGATTTGTTGTAGAGATGAGGTCTCGCTGCGCAGGCGGGTCTCGAACCCGTGGGCTCAGGCAATCCACTCACCTCAGCCTCCCAAAGGTGCGGGATTACAGCTGAGCCACCGAGCCCAGCTATGTATTTTTAAATATACTGCAGATACCAGCATATTTTGCCCTTAAACGCCTCCTCATTCGTTCCTTATTTTTTCAGATGAAAAAGTTACAGCCCAGAGAGGTCAACAGGTCACCAAAAGGCAGCCAGTCAGCAGCATGAGCACTGTGGGTCCAGTTCCCTGCCTGTGCTCTCCTCTGAGTCTCTTCCATGTTCTCAAGTGGACTCAGTGGACCCAGGTTCCTCTGCTGAAAAGGACTGTATTACTTATACCCCCTCGGGGGGCCTACCCTTTCCAACATCTCTTGAAATCATGAGACCATCCATTTCAGACTCAGAATCTTGGATTATACAGAGATTTCTGCCATCTTGGTATTTGCCATAACTTGATTTGATTACGACTCTAACTTTTCAAGCTCACTCTCTTTTACTAAGGACAGGCTATGACAGGTGCTCTATTACCCAGGAAGTTTATGGAACTGGGGACAGGATGCACATTTGAGATGCATGGATGTCCAAGGAGTTCTGCTTCCCCAGGAATCCCCTTGAGAAACAGCAGAAAAGCACACCAGGGCATAATGAGAACGGTCCCGAGGAGGAAGGAGTTCCACTCCCTCTCATTCTCCAATACTGGTCATCAGAGATTCTAGCTTAAAATGCAGGTTCTGGGCTCCAGCTCCAGAGTCTGATTCAGTAGTGGGGCCCAGGAATTTGCATTTTAACACAAACCCATTTGTGATCCTGCACATGGCTTCCAAATTCTCCTTTAAGAATTATTTGTTAGAGTCCTTTCAAGGTAACAATCTAGACTCTCCTGAGTTCCGACTGTCACATATGGTGGGTTTGGTGACATCACACAAGAGGTTTGTTCCTGGGTCTTAGGGCATCTTCCCATAAAACTCTGACAAAAGAGCAGGTCCTGCTTTCCCCTCCACCACCCATGCACCTGTGTCATAATCAAGCAGAGGCTCTGAAGCCCTGGGGGAACATATATCCGAGAGCCACCAGATAGAGGTGCTGTTCTTGGGAGAGAGAATGAGGGCAAAGCAATGTATGGAAAAAATGTTTATTAAGTGCACCTTTTGTCAAGCAGCTAATGAAGCAGACACTTCGTGATTGGCGACATCATTCACCAATTGACACAGTACACAAGGGTGCCACGGAAAGTCACTGGGGTAGAACAAGATCAGGAGTTCATATTTGTGTGAAGTGGCATGTTACTGCAAGTGAATACAAAAAAGGTTGAGCACTTTGAAGCCAAGATCTTCAAGCCTGCATGGTCCCCTTGTGTTTCCTGAAATGACGGCTTATAGACTCCTCCCAAAAGGAGACAAAGTATGTGACAGATTTTTTTTAGAGACTAAAGAAATAAGGCTCAGAGTCCACACATTCACTTTTGATGACCAGAACAATGAAACATTCCAGAAGATAAACTGCATGCTCCAATTCACTGGCACTTCCAGTCACGCGCTTGGTTTGTAAACAGGTCTGAAACTGTAGGGAAAGATGGCTGGCAGACCTCGGGCTTGGGGTCTGGGGAGGAGCCCAAACACGACTGAGCTCGAGGTAGTGTTCTGGACCCTTGTGCTCATTCTTCTAGAGTTTGGTTGGGGAAAGACTAAGACACAGTGAACATATTCTCAAGGAGGAGACTGAGAGAGAAAGGGAGGCTAGCCAGTGGTGCCGTTGACTTATGCACTGTGACAAATGTCACTTACTTGCCACAAAACATAGACTCCTGTGCTACCATGAGACCCAAGTCACCAGCCAGAGCTTTCACATGAAGAAATGATCAAAGGGTCCTAGTCGGTTCTGAGGCCCAAGAACTTCACAACTCCAGGGTTCCCAGGAAGGCTGTGCTCCTGGTCAGAAAAGTTACTGTACGTGGCTGTCCCCTGGAACCCCAGTGGCTTCTGTTGGCTGCCAGGATGGCAACTGGGAACAGCAGAGTCCTGGGGTATCTCTGGCTGGTGGGCTAACAGACCCCACAACCACTGCATTTGCACCCAGAGTGGTCAATGGCTCAGCACATGGGTCCAGAGATCCCAAACCAGCATCCTGTCAGCTTACCAAAGGGTGAAGGATGGCTAGTGTTGGCACTCTAAGTGCATGTCCCAGCAATATTGTGTGATGCCTCTGAGTCCAAAGATGCTATTGTCTTCAGGTTCCAGTTAATACTCAAGATCCTGTACTAAACCCTTAGACTTTGAACACTGAAGTTTCAGTGCTGCCTCTCCTCCCAGACTATCTAGACCATGCCAGCTGGTTCTATTGCATGTGTGTGGCTATTGCAGCATGGAGGAAGAAGAAGAAAGTGTGTTCTAAAGAGAAGAGTGGATCTGTGGCTTTTGAGAAGTGAGCCTGCTGCATCTCAGTAAGTCCAAAGATATGCCTGGAAATTTAAAAGGTGTCCCGGCTGGGCTTGGTGGCTCAGCCTGTCATCACAGCACTTTGGGAGGCCGAGGCGAGTGGATTGCCTGAACCCGCGGGTTCAAGACCTGCCCGGGCAACTTGGCAAGACCTCGTCTGTACAATAAATAAAAAAATTAGCTGGGTGTGGTAGTACGCACCTGTAGTTCCAGCTACTTGGAAGGCTGAAGTGGAAGGATGGCCGGAGCCCCACAGGTCGATGCTGGGGTGACTGTGAGCATGCCACTGCACCCCAGCCTGGGTGACGGAGTGAGACTCCAACTCAAAAAATAGAAAAAAATAAAAAATAAAAGGTACCCCAAACTGCACTGAGCCAGTCAGTCCCTGACAGAAAACCTCTGATCAGTAGTGTCCTGAGGCTGGGCTCGGTGGCTCAGCCTATAATCCCAGCGCTTTGGGAGGCCGAGGTAAGTGGATTGCCTGAGCCCGTGGGTTCGAGACCCACCTGGGCAACTA